TAAGAAACGCTACCTGCCAAAAAAAGTGAAGTTTTGTTGACATCGGTTAAAAAATGTAGGAAATCCGATCCCATATATAAACGAACACACACACACACACACACACACACACACACACACACACACACACACACAAACAACCTGGGTTTCATAATAAGTATCACTCGATATGATGTGTCCCCCTTTCATTCTGGCAACAGAATCGTGTTTTATCGTGTTTTCAAATTGATTTTGTGCAAAAACAATTGTGTTTTTCCAATTTTTGGTGCTGTCAGAACCACCGCAAAGTAATTTTATGTAGTTCTGTGAAGTTTTGTTGAAATCGGTTGAAAAATGTAGGAAATCCGATCCCATATATAAACGTACACACACACACACACACACACACATACACACACACACACACACACACACACACACAATCTGCGTTTTATAATAAGTAAGATCCTTAGAGTGAATAAAAGTGTTGATGTGTTTGTTTAATAAAACCTACCAATTATAATAATAATAAAATAAATCGCAATCCTAATATCAAAGTCTATATAAACAGCTCTTATTATATATCAGTCTCTAATCAATTTTCTTTTATTAATCTAATAATATAATACATATACAATGTAAAGGATATCGACTAGGAAAGTGGAATCGGAGAACCTAGTCGTCCCAAGTCTTATCAGTGTAATTAGGATCGTTGAAACCGTTGGCAAGCCGTCTACGTTATGCAAAATCACCAGTCATCCCCACCGTGTGTTCGCGCGTACTAGCCTTATTCATCTACTTATGACGCCAGGTATTTGTTCTCTCACAGAAAACTGTAAATCAGTTCCGCTCAGCATAGATGTAGTTTAAATCACAGATTGACTGTCTGGGTGTTGAAGATAAACAAATTGACCTGAGCAAAAGAGATTATCTAGCCATACTTGCAGATGCGCATACTAGGAAAGGAGCAGCTAACCATTATCTTATGTTTGCATAACTATTGTATTTATATAGTACACTTAAGTATTGTACTTATATATTATACATAAGTATTGTACTTATTATATAGTATACATAAATATTGTACTTATTTTTTATTATACATAAGTATTGTACTCATTATGTAGTATATATAAGTATTCTACTTATATAGTATACATAAGTATTGTACTCATTATATAGTATACATAAGTATTGTACTCATTATATATTATACATAAGTATTGTACTTATCATATAGTATACGTAAGTATTGTACTTATATAGTATACATAAGCAAATATCCAATTAAAATTGTGCTTGTTCCTCTGTTCGTTAGTTCACACGACCATTACGCCCTGCCAGTACCTCATAAATACTGGTCTATTCCGTTTTGATCGCGAGAAAGGAGAGGAAGGGACTGCCTGGTTGGATAAAAAAAGAAAGAAAGAAAGAAAGAAAGAAAGAAAGAAAGAACCGCTGTTTTAGTGAAATGGAAAACAGTAACCAATTTCAAATATTTTAATTTCTACCCACCTGTTAAAATAATGCCCAGCATTCATATTTATGATTGTTATTGCAATATTTTGTGAAAGTTGTTAAACTCAAATATCTAACGATGGGACAAGGGGATTTCTACAGATATTTTATTGTCGTAGAACTCGCCATGAGCTTATCCAATCATTAAGTTAAAAATTTAGATTAATCAGAATATTAAAATTAGAGGAAAACTGTGAAATTTTCACGGATTAAATTAGTAATGTGTATAAATTCATATATGTATTTTTGTAATTAGTTTTCTGCTCTTTTTCGACGGAGATAACGTATGCAACACAAAATGTTATCTAAATATACAAATAAGAACGCAAGCTACTTTCAAAGATCGTTCAAATTTAGATATCATGTCATTCAACGTATTCAACCAAAACTCGATGAAATTACTTCTGTTTCAATAATTTGTTTTTTGTACCAGATCGTTCTCTCCGTCAGATTATTATTATAAAATTACACACAGCTGTACTAGAATGTAAAATTAACAACTCTACCCTGTTAAAATCTAGTTTTCGAAGAGCTGTAACTTGATCTCACTACGTATCAAAAGGTTTATCATATCTCTTTTGTTTAGTGGGCTTTTCATGGCTTCTTTTTATGCTCGACACTGTTACTTATTGTTGTTGCAATGCAACTTTATGTTTTCTTTAGTTACCTGATAGTCGTTAAAGATATGATTCGTGGGAGAAGAATGTAAAATACTGAAATTTAACTGACTATACATTCCGGGATCAAAGCAGAAATCATGAAAACGTTTTTTTTTTTTGTTTGTTTGTTTTTTTGTTTTTTCTCACGATGCTTTCAAATTCTTCACCACTGCTCAAATAACGACTTCATGACACTGCAAATTTTAAAATCAAAGTGGAAAAAAGCAGCTTTTCTTTTTTTTCTTTTTTAGGTATGTCAACTAGATTAACATACCTAAAAAACAGACCGTAACAGAGAATAATTTATAACTTTTAAGAATACTTGTGAAATCAGTATATTACAGTTATTTCTTCAGGGCAAATAGGATTAACAGATTGGGATTAGAACAGAAAGTAAATACAAGCTAGATTGTTCTCGTTCTGCAGCCTATGTCGTGGGATATTCTACATAGTTTTCTGTTTTAGTACTACTCAATTAATACCCACCCCATTTCAACTAAGTCTGAGTACCCGATCTAGAGATTGAACTTATATATATATAATTTAAATAAAAACAGACCACTTTAAGGTTTCATGTAATAAATTATTTCACCACAGCCCTTTTAAAAGGACTGCGGATCATCAGACGTTAATATATCCATGATATACTAACATTTGAACAAGACGGAAGAAGAGACAATGGTAACCCAAGGAGATAAATTCCAAAAATGAATTAAACATGAAAAACATTTTATATACAAAACATAACTATACACAATGTTATGAATAATCAAGAGTGGTCTCCCCTTGTTTCGTTACTCTCCTCTTTGAAAGAGCTATTTCGGTTTACTGGGACTATAAAACGACCCTATATGCGAACCTTGTATTCTCAGTTAAATGAAGCTTTCGTAAAGCCTACACCTGTGTACTTTTGTCATTACACATATATACGAAATATTAACTTAGCATTAATATTTTCGGGAAGACATGAATCCATTCCTCGCCGATCAACTATGATCAAATGGCAGAGTCGTTGGGATCCATTTGCTCTAGCAAAGCATTTAATCTTTGTGATGGTTATTCTGAATAAAGTGGTAGTTGAAAGATTGGGCATGTTAAACGTTGAGTCAGCAGACATGTCCCTTAAAAACCTACAATTGCTACAGAGATGTATGTGTGTGTATGTGTGCGTACATTCAGAGAGTATAAACTGCAAGCCTCCTCAAAAGGATTTTGAATGTGAGGAATATCATGGGCCGCGTCGTGTTGTCACTGAAATGTCAACATTATATTGTAATATGTATCTTACGAATAAAATTTCTTATACGTCATAATAATGTCGGAGTTACTTACCCTACTTTTCAGTGCAGATGTTCTTATAATGTTTATTAAAAACAATTTTCTACAAGCGTTTTAATTACCTTCTTACCGCATGTGATCTTTCTATTTGTAATTATTTTTTTCTTGCTGAAAAACGTACCGTCTGCTAAAGAAAAAAGGCGAGGTCACATGACTATCAAATGAGATCCGGACTTCATGAACGACCTCATGCGATCTGTAATGGTCGTAATTCATTTAAGTGAATGACCTCCAAGTTGTTCAAGTAATCAATCAAAATGTGTTTTTAGACTTTTATGCTACATATTTTTGCTCATTTTAAAAGTACATTTGTCATTTCCCAATTTAAAAAAAATACTAGCCTATTGAGTAGTTGTACAGAGACAGACAGACAGACAGACAGAGACAGAGAGATGGCCATTGTACACATTCACACAAATTTAAATGGAATGAGTCAATAAAAAATAAAATAAAATTAGAAACGAATGCCCCATTTTACTATTACGAAACTTTGTAATTCGGTCTCCGAGATAACCTGTCGGCAGTTTTCGGGATCATTCGGAAATTGCTGACAACTAAAAAAAAAAAATCCAAAATTACGACTCAAATAATATCTACTTCCGATCAGTTTGACTCAATGATACGTTTGAAGTGTCTGCATAACTGGGCATTTTGAAATCATCGTTTCTCTGCTAGACTTTTGTTCAGCGCAAATTCTGATATTCAGAACTAAAAAACGAACCCATCTAGCTCTCTTCTCCTTTACTTTTCCGCAACATTTCCTTCTTCTTTCTTATTATTTATACCCTTTTCCAAAATGTCTGTCGGTACTCACATTAAAGTGATATGACACATGATCGGTTTAATGTTTGGTGTCCATACCCCGTACATATAGTCAAGGATTTCCCAGTACGCGCAACCACTGTCACCAATCCTAACCTCTGTAATGCAATGAGAGATGTGATGCAACAGGGCTCCTCGTTTTGTCTACTTACGATTTATTTCTGATCGCTTTGTAGTTGAAAAAGTGCGACCAACGTTATCATCCGGGTAAAAGCCCAAATTTCTAAAGCAGATATTCAAAGTAGGCAACCACTTCCACCACCAATTGTTGTTGTTGTTGTTGTTGTTGTAGCCCTGCAGGACGTGGGCAATCATAGCTTTCCACAAATTTCCTATCCTTTACAGCTCTATATAAATTTAGTCTTTTTGCTCCCTTTCATAATCCTTGTTCTGACAACCATTTTCACAATCTCATTAGCTATGTTATACCACTGTTTTCCGCTGTCCCTCTTGCCTTACAGAACAGAGGAGAAAAGAGGGTAGCCAGTACATTCTTATAAATAACTGTGTAATACAATCTTCTTTCGTTATACTTGGCCTAGACCCAGATCAAGCTGAACTTGGTAAATGTCTCTAAAGTTATCCTTGGCATAACTACGACTGAACTTACTAAGAACGGTTTCGAGATCAGTTATTGAACAAAGAATCAATGTCATCAAATGTCTTCTGGCATTTTACCAGTTAATGTCGTCGCTAATTATATACATTATAGGTTTCTCTCTCTCTCTCTCTCTCTCTCTCTCTCTCTCTCTATTTCGTTTACATATTTCCGTTTTCTCTCTTTCACAATCTGTTTTTTCTTATATTGTTCTATTTCTCTCTTTAACTCTATTTTTCTTATATTCTGCCATTTTCTCTCTTCTTACTTAGATCAATTTGTTCTCTTTCTCTCCTTCTCTCTCTAATTTTCTTACATTGTTCTATTCCCTCTCTCTCTCTCTCTCTCTCTCTCTAATTCTCTTACATTGTACCATTTTTCTCACTTTAATTTTCTTACATTGTTCTAGTTTCTTTCTTTCTTACACTGTTTCCTTTTCATTCTCTCTCTCTCTCTCTCTCTCTAATTCTCTTACATTGTTCTATTCTCTCTCTTTAACACGCTATTTCTCTTATATTGTTCCATTTCCCCCCCCTCTCTCTCTCTTTCTAATTCTCTTACATTCTTCCATTTCTCTCTCTTTTTCTTTACAGTGTTCCCTTTTCTCTCTTTCTCTCTCTCTCTCTTATCCTCTTTCCAATTTTCTTTCTCTCTCTCTAATTTTCTTACATAGTTCTATTTTATCTCTCTCTTCAAATTCTCTTACATTCTTCCATTTCTCTCTCTTTTTTTACAGTGTTCCCTTTTCTTTCTTTCTCTCTTTCTCTTTCTCTCTCTCTCTCTTATTCTCTTACATTATCCCATTTTCTTTCTCTCTCCTTCCAATTTTCTTGCACAGTTTAGTCTCTAATTCTCTTACATTGTTCCATTTTTCTCTCTTTAATTTCTTATATTGTTCTATTCTCTCTCTCTAATGCTCTTACATTGTTCTATTTTCTCTCTTTAACACGCTATTTCTCTTATATTGTTCCATTCCCCCCACCTCTCTCTCTCTCGATTTCTCTTACATTCTTCCATTTCTCTATTTTTTTAGTGTCCCCTTTTCTTTCTTTCTCTCTTTCTCTCTCTCTCTCTTATCCTCTTACATTGTCCCATTTTCTTCCTCTCTCTCTCTCTCTCTCTCATTCTCTTACGTTCTTCCATTTCTCTATTTTTTACAGTGTCCCCTTTTCTTTCTTTCTCTCTTTCTCTCTCTCTCTTAGTCTATCTCTGTCTCTAATTCTCTCACATTGTTCTATTTTCTCTCTCTCTCTCTCGAATTCTCTTACATTCTTCCATTTCTCTATTTTTTTACAATGTCTTTCTTTCTCTCTTTCTCTCTCTTATCCTCTTACATTGTCCCATTTTCTTTCTCTCTCTCTCTCTAATTTTCTTACATTGTTCTATTTTCTGTCTCTCTTTATATCCCTACCATTTTTTCCACTCTCTCTCTCTCTCTCTCTCTCTCTCATAATTAACCTTTTTTTAGTTTATCTAATATTAATCTGGACTCTTATCTCATTCATGGTATCGGTTATATGCTTAAAATTTCGTTCGTTTGACTTTGAACGGAGAAAAATATCATGTAGCAACATGACACAGAATTGATTGTTTGTATTACCACTGGGTATAATTGCTGTTGTGGTGCGGTATCAGAGGGAACATTGCCGAGTGGTTAGAACTTCGACTATGAAACCAAGGTCCGAGACCCACCATGGTGGATTAGTCAAGGAGCCCGAGGATTCGCTCTCAGGACACGGCACCGTTGGAAACTGTCGGAAAACCAATCACTTACTGACGTAAGCCTTGTGATCGAAACTAGATAGACAAAACTTTTCGGAAGCTATCGATGGTTGTGTTAGCATGTAGTCCCATGTCATTGTGACCGAGGGTGTTAACGTACGGGACATGATTATGCGCTTTCTCTGTAACCAAGATTTTCTCGCCATAATTGCAGTATAAACCAGAGGTTAGCTCTGTGGGTGTTGTAGAAACACAAATGTGCCTCACCAGGTGTTTTCGACAAGGATATCTAGGCAATATGGGTGTACTCGGAAGCGAGCAGTCAGATATTATATATGGCGAAATGTAGTGTATCTATAAACGACAAATTTTTGATCGGATTCAATCCAATTGTTTATGAAAGCATATTTTAGAGGTCACGAAGTAGTAGCAAACTTTTTTCCTTTGTATAACTCAGTATATTCAATTTGACTATGTTTGTTCTTGTGAACGGCAAGGCAGTTTCTTGTCGAGTGCCTTTCGGCAAGCTGGTGTTTAAGATGAGCTCTTTGGGATCTCTTTCTGCAAAGCATGTCGGGAAATTGCCTGCTTTTCTATGAATATCTAAATTTAATATGCTGTCCAATAAAAGTAATATCGAAAATCAAAAAATAATGCTGTGGAATTATCTGACCTTATCAGTCAATGGACTTTACTTAATGTCGATAAGTGGAGTTCTATTAAGGACTATAAAAGGAAGGAACATAAAAACTCTCTAACTTTTTCCTTCTCTATCCCATAGGATGTGGTAAGTAAAAGACATTTTCCAGTCTTCCCCACATCCCGGGCAATCGACTACTTAATTTTAATTCAACTACTTGGCGCACTCACTCTCTCCACACCCTACTGATAATTCAGTAAGTGTTTTTCTTACTTTTTTTTAGAGTTGTATATCTGTACACACAGAAATATATTTTAATTACTTGTTTAATTATGTTGTCCTATATATAAAAATATATATCTAAAATATCTTTCGTATGTTAAATTCATTTATTTTGAAAGTTCCCACCTTCTTTCTGTCACAAGTGGCAACAAATTCTACCATCACAAAAGCTTTCACTTTTATTTATTAAACCAGACCTTACGCAATATTTTACTAGCATATTTCCTAGGAATTTTCTTCTCTAATGCACTTTCAAAATTCTCAACTTTTTCAGGATGTAGAGTATTTTGAACTTGCGTCTGTTTATTTTCGAATTGAGGATTGTCAAATACGCCCAACATAAGTTCTGATCAGTTAACGACCCTTTTCAGATAAATGTTGATATTCATTACGGCGCCAAGAACAAATCTGTCGTATACCAGGCAGCAGGACGTTCAAGGGAGTTCACATAATGCCTCGTTTCAATGCACGAAAAAAAATATTTCGTTTACTCACACCTCTTATAAAATTCAACCCAAGCATGTGTGCCCAAAATGAAATAGGAGATAAGAGGAATCGCCATATAGTAACGGTTAGTAAGATAATATCCCAATTGTTACTACTGAAGGTCGTTTTGCTCTAATTGGCCGTGCAACACGAATAAGTTTGTATATTGTTGAACAAAATATTAAATGTTAATATGAATAAAGATTTTATGATTATTCCTAAAGCGTTGTTTTCTACACTGAAGAATCGGTTTTAGATTCTTTCCCATGACATAACGTAACTTCCCTCTACTTTTTCTATAAATACTTTAATGGCAATTGCTGTGAAACTTTCCTCTGTAGTACCTAAACTATGAATTTAAACGCAGTACTAGATTGTCTGCAAGGTATCATAATTTTACAGTTGAAATGCTTATATGTAACCGTAGGTTCTTTGCTAGCAGTTTCTTCTCTCACACTTTTTGCTTGTGGAACTCTCTTCTTCCCTGTTAACTTTGATCCTAATAAATTTAAACGCAATGTCAATCGTTAACTTCTACCCTCTTAATGATTTTTCTTTTATTGTTCTTTCTTCTTAATAGTGTTTTTCTCATATTCTTTAACAATAATTAACCTGTTGCATCTTAGTGGCTTTATAACCTTTCTAGGGAGTGAAAGGATTTTTTTAAATCCACACACAGGATAATTTATAAAAAGAAATTTTCGATGAAATAACATTTTTTTATAGACCATACGTAATTTAAAAAAAGAAACAGGAAAATTTCATTAGAAACAACGAAAAGAAAGCTGAACTGCTCTGTATCTTCAATCGTCTTTTATGGCACTGAATTCTGCATATGTATAAGAGGAGCAGTCATCTATTCTACATATTATCATAATAGCTTAGGCTTTGTACTGAGAGATCAATATAGAAAAAAAAATAACGAAAAACAAACGATAGTTTTGTTGTCTTGAAGTGTCAACCTCTTGAAAATCGTTCCCTTTCTAATGCCCAAAATCTTAGCAGAACGAAAAAGAAGTAATTCTTTTTTCTCATACGGACAATTGCAACAACACAAAAAGGGGGTGATTCCTGACAAGCAACCAATATGACCAAAAACAGACACCTTCGTAAAAAAAATATCTCTAACTTATTGTAAGTCGTATACACATAATAACTCATTTGAAATTTGATACTTTTTGGGGATTTTATAAAGAATCTACAAATAGGACCATATGTGGCAGCAACATTCTAAGTATAGACAAATAGGAGACATTCAGAGAAAGATTTTCTCGACCAACACAACGAACTCACTTTTTTAGCAGCCGACCTAGCAATGGATTCGATATAATATTTCCACTTCAGAGAAAGTTAGCCTGAGACGGCGTAACGAGTGACTCTCCTGGAGGTCAGCATCAGCCATGCTGATGTAAAGCAGAAAGGGCTCTCTCAGATGATTAATAGAGAGTAGTTCTGTTTTGGAGGAGTTAAGATTAACAAGCCATTCTTTGCCCCAGTTAACAACAGACTGAAGGTCGTTTTTGACATCAGTTGCCAATTTGATCTTATCGGATTGATCAGATTTACTATCGAGACCGGAGTAAATGGTTATGTCATCATCATAGATACCAAGTTGAGAGCTGATGCCATCAGTTAGGTCGTTAATGAAAATTAAGAACAAAGTAGGACGAAGGATAGAGCCTTGTGGGGGGAGCACCTGCATTTGTACAAAAGGATCTAGAAGAGTAGCCATTCAGGATAACTTTCATTTCATGATTTGATAAGAAAAACTGAATTATTTCAAAAATTTGTTCAGAGACTCTATAACTTTTGAACTTGTGAAGACTGGTATGCTAAATCCTGTTGAAAGCTTTCAAGATGCCCATAGCAACAGCTGAGCTTCACCATTCTTATCTAGAGTTTGATAGACTCTTTCAACAATTATCGTCAGTATATCAGCAGTTGAAATGAGAAAATGAAAGCAATATTGCTTGTCTGGAAGAAGGTCCTGCGATGTGAGATGCTTAAATAATTCAGCATTGAATAGGGCGTCTATAGAGGCCGATAGTTGGAAAGATCAGACGGTTCATCTGAGTTCTTAAAGAATGGAACAAAAAAATGGGTTCTTAAAAACCGGAACAACAAGCAGGAATCAAAGAGGCAGTGAAGCATTTACTCCTGAGAGCAACCACCAACAGCTCTACCTAGAGGAGGTTGTGTGTTTCTTCTTCCCTTAGACCCTGCAAACATTGAAACACTCAAGGGACTGATGATGATGATGATGATGATGATGATGATGATGATGATGATGATTACACAAAGGCAGATGGAGAGATGCTGAAAGACTGCCTCTCTGTCCATCTTAAAAATCAGTGTTGGAAATCTTGAATTTGAAAAATTATCCCTAGCGATGGTGGATGAAAAAACACAATAAGCTAATCTCCCGGGAAAAAAAAGCAAGATTTCTTATTATCAGTAAAGCGAAATTGTTTCTGCTCTGCTATGCCTTTATCTTGGAGGAAGAAATTGCCAAATAAAAAAAAAAAAAAAAAAAGAAAGAAAAAACGACTTTAAAGAATTTTTGCTGAATGTCTTTCGGGAGAAGTGACGAAAGAAGATGATAGAAAAATAGGAGAAGGAGGAGGAGAAGGAAAGAATAGAAAATGAAAGAGAGAAATAAAAGTAAGGAGTATGTGGGAAAGTGTAAGAAAGAGGAATTAAACATTTGGCAAAGTGTAGAACAGACGGAGAAAGATTTAGAATAACTAATGTAAATCTCCTTCAAAAAAGGAATTATCATTTTGGATATTTTCTTAAGCTGTGGCTAGTTGTCGTAAAATTATTCTTGCTTTCGATCCAGATATACTGTCATTTGAATCTAACACGGACAAGGACAAAAAAAAACAACACGACAAAAACCAAAATATATTTGTAAAACAATATTATGATATGCGCTAGTATGTAGGTGCCATAAAGAAAGAAAAAGAAAGAAATAATATCAAAGAACAGTATAGGCCTGTTTGTGTATACAGTTTTATATACAGGATGTAAGGAGTGGCGTTGGTGGATTTTACAACATATAGATACATATTTAATGAACAAATCTGTGGGTTTTTTTTTTAATTATATTTAGTCTATAGATAAATATTAGCCTCGAATGCTTACTGGGGCTAAAGCCAATCTCAAATGCAAAACGTATATTCGCGCCATTGAAAAAGATGCTGGAAGAATGGTAAGTTCTTTGAACCGCTCCAGACAATACCTAACTCCTGCTGCCATGCTCTAGGTCAAACCAAGAATTGAGTATTGCTGCCATATCTGGGCTGGTGCTGTCCACTCCTCACAATCCAGCCTCGACAGAGTTCAAAAGCTCTTACGCTGGTGATGAATTATTCTC